CGAGTTCCAAAAAATTCACTGAGTGACCCAGGCCTAGCTTACTCACTATTGTTGCAGATATAATTGCTGTCTATAGTTTAGAGCGTCTTTTGTTCTGTACTTCGTATGGATTTTTTGAAACTTTTAGTTTTCTTTTTCTTCCTTGTGTGTCTCCAGAACTTTTAAATATTTATGAGTCTGTTTCCGAGCTTTTATATATTTTTGTGCATGAACACTGACGACAATTCTTCATTATCCTTCTCTTCTTTGTTAGTGTTTTATAAGTTATTTCGCTAGGCTTCTTGTGAAAGGTTCGATTGGGATTTATTTAATGTCTTTTATATTTATTATTGTCTTTTATCATCATTGTGTAAATAAAGGGAGAAAAAGAGTGTGTACACACTAGTTAAAATTCAACAAACAAACATTTTGTAATAGAGTGTGTGTGCGAGTAAAATGGAAAATCACATACAGACTTTTCACAAAAGTTTTCATTAATTGAGTTGTGTAAATACTTGGTAAACATGTTTAAAACCTTAAGAACAATGTGGAATTTATTAGAAAAATCATATTTTCTTCACTAATTGTGGTGCATTAAACTGTTCGAAATTGTTTAAAATTTTCATGTATTTTGTCCTCTAGTTTAGAGGCACGAAAGTATTATTTTTTACTGGATTTTTTCTGCTTGGTGAATCTGTGTTTCCAAGGGAAAATGAATCTAAATTAGTGAAAATCAGAGTTTCAAGTGTAAAAGAATAGAGTTAATCAGCATTTTTTCTGTAATTTTGTTTAAGTAAATTTTCCAACATTTACTAGCTGCAATTGTTTATCCCAAATGTTTCCTTCGTAGTTTTATCACTTTAGTAGTAGTTAAAAATCTCGAATTAAGTATCAAAAAATGTTGGTAGTTAAAAGTTTCGAATTAACTATAAAAAAATTTTAGAAGTAGTTAAAACTCTCGAATTAACTATCGAAAAATTTTGGTAGTTAAAAGTTTCGAATTAACTATCGAAAAGTTTTAGAAGTAGTTAAAAATTTCGATTTAACTATCGAAAAATTTTAGAAGTAGTTAAAAGTATCGAATTAACCATCGAAAAATTTTAGAAGCTAAAAATCTCGATTTAACTCGAAAAATTTTAGAAGCAGTTAAAAATCTCGAATTAACTATCGAAAAATTTTAGTAGTTAAAAGTTTCGATTTAAATATCGAAAAATTTAAGAAGTAGTTAAAAATCTCGATTTAACTATCGACAAATTTTAGTAGTTAAAAGTTTCGAATTAACTATCGAAAATTTTTAGAAGTTCGAATTTCTTTAAAATTTGTATGTATTTCCTGAGGCACGAAAATATGATTTTTTACTGGATCTGTGTTTCCAGGGTAAAATGAATCTAAATTGGAGAAAATCACAGCTTCAAGTGTAAAAGAATAGAGTTAATAAATATTTTTTCTGTAATCTTGTTTAAGTAAATTTTTCAACATTCACTAGCTTTTAATTGTTTATCCCAAATTTTTCTTTCGTAGTTTTATCACGACTGTCGTTAATTTTCCACGCATTTGTGTTCTAAAATGAGATTTTCGCGGTTCTTAACTCTATCAATCATTTTTTTTCTACAGAAAATGCTAATATATTTTACAAAAAGTTCGCCTTTGCGAATCAGCTTACGTCTTTGTAAGCTTGTAGCTGAAAAATTAATTCCCAAAAAATCCTATAAGCTTCAGGTTAAAGGGTCCTGATCCTTCCAGCTGCTTTAGCTGGTTAATTCCATTTAAAATAATCTGTGCTCTTTTGCGTGCTCCTGTGCGAATTCGATCGGGATTTACCATAATTGAAAGGTTTTGGTTTTCTGTTACTAAGCACACATAAAAGAAAATTGCTGAACCAAAAAAATGCTTTAGATAGCGTTCTCGTATAGAGAAAGTGTGCAAATGTTTATGTTCGGCCGTTTCACCCCACACTAGCTTCATCTTTTAGTGCTCGTCTCTCTCACCCCCCGTTGGGATCATTCAAAAACATACTGATTTTTCGTCTTAATTTTTCTCATATACAGAGAGTCATTATGTAAATATGGAAAAAATGTATATAAAAAGGACGTTGACTTACAAGGTTAAGTAAGCACACAAGTAAGTAAGTCTAAAGCTGTACAATCATAATTTAAGGGAGGTTTTATAAAGTAATATTAAATCTAGCTACTTTTCAACAATTATTATGTAAAGTACCTTTTCATTTGAAAATCCCCAATTTGTATCAAGTTTAAAAAAAACCGAGCAAATTAAGTAAAAGTGAACTAAACTAAATCATTAATTTCCGAAAAACCAACTTAAGTGACTTGAGTACAAAACTAACAAAACCTACGTTTTTCCATAACTGACATACAATTTTTTTGAATTTTAACGGCAATTAATTTAATAAAAATTCAAATAGCAGCGACAACCCTCAGTAATATCCACTTAGAACAGTTCCCCCCTATTAAACGGCACGTAAAACATGGACCTTTAAAGAATAATTAAACCTTTGTAATTCTCTTTTATGGAAATAAGGGTTGACTTCGACCCTGGTCTACCCGCATGATTTAGACTTTCAGTATATGGAAAGCTTAAGCAAATGTGGAACTTTCGAAGTTTTGGGACGAACAAGAGCACGTTAGGTTCTTTCCTGCGCTCATAAATTTCCAAGTGAATTAACTAATTTCTAATGGTTGAATGAAAATTCCTCTTGGGTCCTGCTGCGCCATTCCCCAAAGAAATATAAAGCTGAATCCATAGAAAAGGAAGTTTATTCGTATGGGACCAGTAAGACGTACCTGGGCATCTGGACCCGAATAGCGCAATTTGCAATTTTATTTAAAGGTTTGCAGAAACATGCAAAAATGCTAATAGTTCACAGAGTGCGCTACATTCGCTCGAATCATTCAACTGCATTTGAGTGATAAAAGTGAACATTTTGATTGTACACAGTTGGTGAATAATTGATCAAGTGTTTTCGTTAACCTTTACTCGTATCAACGCCCATATATAATCAATGCATAGTGTGGAAATAATATGGAAAGCCCCACGGCAAATCGATAGGCAATTATGGCGCCAGAATTTCATTCCGGTGAAACCGACAATATTGTTAACAATAATTATACGGCCTGAACATGCACATGATCAATATCTCAACAAGGGATCGAACACTTCAATAACTAAAAGGAAAATCGTTAATAAATTAACTAATATAGTTGATCAATACATTTAAAAGTCATCCAGACCTTAGGCGTTGTCTCAAGAGATAAATATGTAATTTACCAGAACAGCCTGAATAAGCAAACCTTTCAACAATTAGTTGCTTTTGGAACATCCAATTTTGTCCCCCAACTATTTACTCAAATCTCTCCAGCTTATTCAGCTAGCTCCAAATGAAGTCATTAAACACTTTCATTCGCCCTGGACGACGTGGCCATTTTTCAGTCACCTGAATGTTTCAGCGTCGAATCGAAGAAACTCGGAAGCATGCACGAACAGGCCGGATTCAAGCAAATAAAACGCCTGAAAAACATTGGAAACCGTTGTAACTTCGTTTTCGGCAAACAAAAGTTTTAATCAGAGCAATTTCGTACGGAACGATAACGTCGAAAACTCTACGAAGAGTTTCTTTTGCTCGGAAGAATAAATTGAGAAAAGTGAGCTTAAGGGGTTCATTGAGATTAAACGGATAAAACTGGGTATTTTCAGGGAAATGCTAGTTTTTTGTTGCCAAACTTACCCAAATTTTAACATGTGTATAATGCGATCCATAAAAACATTTATATATATAT